GTTAGGTTAGGTTAGGTTAGGTTAGGTTAGATTAGTTTACGTTAGGTTAGATTAGTTTACGTTAGGTTAGGTTAGGTTAATTTACGTTAGGTTAGGTTAGGTTACGTTACGTTACGTTACGTTAGGTTAGGTTAGGTTAGGTTAGGTTAGGGTTGGTTTGGTTAGGTTAGGTTAGGGTAGATTAGGTATAGCTTTGCTTGGTTAGGTTAGGTTAGGTTTGGCTTGGTTAGGTTAGGTTAGGTTAGATTAGGTTTAGCTTTGCTTGGTTAGGTTAGGTTAGGTTCGGTGTTGGCTTGGTCAGGTTAGGTTAGATTAGGCTTGGCTTGGTTAGGTTAGGTAAGGTTAGGTTAATTATTTAATTTTCTCGCATATTTATGTAGACACATTACTAAGTGCATCACACACGAAATATATTATTTGGGTTCTAAACATTTCTGTGACTGTAAATCAAATTAACTTACTCAGCAATTTTAGTAAATACACTTACTTTATTCATTCATCACGTATAAAATATTTTACCCCAGATACAATGTTATTTTCTAGGAGACAGGAATTATAATATACCGAAGATGGATCCCCTGGAAATCACCGAAATGTCCGTGTCTGATGGACCAAGTCAGTCTGGATTTTCCATCAATTTTCGGGATGTGAAGATGTATGGACTGAAGGACGCGTCGGCAGAAAAAGTAGAGTGAGTTTTTATTCATCACCCGCGATTCTTACGCAAGTAAAGTGGGTTGGGATAGGCGTAGGAGTAACAATTTTATATTTATAAATTGCCAATTGTTCCTGTAGCATTTATTGGACAAAGCCACACTAGTTCACATTATCCTTAAAATGTTGGACGAATCGTAACAAACTATGATCTCTAGCTGTCTAGATTTTGAACAGCCTTCGACTCTGAAGCGAAACCCAAATCTCTGCAAAATATGAGAGACATCGCAAATTATTTAGGTGATTTTCTTCATCGAAACTTCCGTTCCGTTCCAGATACGACTTCGACCAGAAACATGTCTTATACGGCATCAGGGTGCCCGCTCTCACCATCCTAGGAAAGTACGAAATATCGGGACGGATCCTTGTTCTACCGATTACCGGGAAAGGAGACGTCAACATTACGTTATGTAAATAATTTTAAGCATTATCATTATTATTATTATTATTGCTAACAGGGCATTTACTTCTATATACCCCAAGACAAACTTTGCCCTTAAATTACATAATGCAGCAGCTATTTCCGAAATATATTTCGTTTTTAATACGTTTTACATGTGTTATATAGTTTTATTGTGAGGGATGAATATATATTTTACGACAGCGTCTTTCGAATGATGTACGAAGATCCCAAAATGGCGATTTTCTGAAGTTCCTTGATGTCGTGTTCGCTCGGAATGTTGGCCAAATATTGTCTGAGTGACTTGGAGACAGTTCCAGTTGCTCCTATAAATATTGGGATTACTTTCACTTTCCACATTCGCTGTTTTTCAATGAGAAGGTCCTTGCATTTCAATATCTTCTCAGCCTCCTTCTTAATTACGTTCCTGTCAGTCGGTATTGCTATGTCAATTAAGATGCAAGTTTCATTTTTGTTTCGGATTATAATATCTGGTTTGTTATTTGGAATGTTTCTATCTGTTCTGACTTGTTGGTCCCACAAAATAGTTATTTATTATTCTTATTTTTATTATTTTGCAATTTAAGAATATTCGAGGCTCCCGTTCTGATTTGAAAGTCATGTTTTCGTTGCCTTATCATTATCTGCGTACATGTGCAGTAATTAAATTCCATAAATAATTCCCAACCTCTGATGGACCCCACATGTTCACAAGAGCCCACTACTCGACCCTGTATTAATCCTCACGAGTCTTGTTTGAGATCTATTTTAATCTTATATTTTCATATACTCCTGAGTATCTGAATATAAATTTTCTTGCTAAGTTTTCTTACTAAAATTCTGTCAGCATTTATCCTCGACCCTGCATTCTACATGTCCATCCGTCTCGTTGTTTTGTATTTGCTTACGCTAGTACTGTCTCGTGAAGAATGCAAATTATGAATCCCCCCTTTTTGAACAGTATTTTGTAAGATGATATAGTTACGTCATATTGTGATAAATATATATTTGTTTAATCTTGTCAGTCTAATCACAATAAAATTCTATTAAATATTAAAATATTAAAATATTGCTATAATTAACATTTAAATATTTAAATATATTAAAATAATGTTCTCTGTTCTATAATAATAAATTTTATTGTGATTAGACTGACAAGATTAAACAAATAAGTATTTTGAAACTTACCCTGTTATCTGCACCATTTTCTGAAGCAGTCAACCTATGACATTGCTTCAATCTAATACAAAATTTCACTTCTGAAGTTAAGTAAACCTCGCAGTATTAGATTAGAGGGTTTTTAGGGTAATGTTCTTCTGGTACCTTGTGGTACGGTGGTGGAATCCATCGCGAAGCTTAAGTGGAAAACAGTCGGACGAATACATCAAGTATGTTGAAAATAGAATATAGGAACTTTTTAATGACGATAGGAAAGTACGTCATTAGCTGAATGACTCCAATTCCTGTCGTTCATCGTAGAAGGTCCCTTCTTGGAATGGACAGAGGGACAGGAGAGATGTTTGTGAAGCTTTGTTTATGGTCTTGGCTGTACTTCTGACATGCTCTCTTTTGCAGTGGACAACGGACTCACATTCTCGTTCGATTACGTCTTTGAATACAGGGACGGCGAGCGGTACTACATGTCGAAGAACCACAAGGCCGTGGTGGAACCGTCGAAGGCATTCTATCGCTTTACTAACTTGTTCAACGGAGACAAATTGTTGGGTACGACATTAGCACATAGGATATAGAAATATAACTTGTACGGATATGAGGTTACTACGCGGACAGACTTGTCTTTACGAATGTAATGTGACTCCTGGCACCGGTTTTTAATTTTTTGGGGGGGCGGAGGGAGGTGGTGTTCTCTCAAAGAAGAGTCACTGTTTGAGTAATTCTGAGTGTCGACTGGGGACCTCAGCCAACCCGCAAAAGACGTACTTTCCTTTCGTTGCAGGTAATATACTCAGTGACCATAGTAAGTATTTCCATGACAAATAAATTACTATCGAAGACACTTATTAACCCTGTGATAGACTTGTAATGTAAAGCTGTACGTTTAAATGACTTCTTATCAAAGACATTGGTCAGTTTAATTAGTTTCCTCGCCCAACTGTGAAATGTAGACGTGTTTCGGCCAATAGAATTAGGCGCCTCCGGAGTACCGAAGAAAATCGACTTGATATTTTCATTGCGATTCACGAGATGACGTAACAATCCACTGCGATAATCGATATGTATCGCTCGGCGATTTGACAGAAGGCAGGATATATACCAAAGCTGTTGCTCAGTATCGTATATCGCATTTTGACAGAAATTATTTCGATGTGACGCGGTCATGTCGGAATAACAGCAGTATCGTTTTTAAAATTATCGATTGGCGACAATCGATATGTATCGGAAGAAACTTTTGTGGTGTGTTCTATTGCTTCATACCATATAACATCTTGAGTGCATCGCATCTGGTGCAGAAAAATACGGGCATTATGAACTTTGGGCTTCGTGTTGAAAGAAACGCTTTGCAGATGCCAATTGAGGCAAAGCTCCACGTATTCTTAACCTTGGCACTGAATTTAGGTCGGTAATCAGCTTCATAATCCTCATTATTTATTTTATAGAAGGTTAAAAGAGAGCCAGACCTAGTACATACAAAAAAAAAAAAACATTATTTCACAAATTACACAGTTTGTCAATATTAATACCAAACCTTTGTAATTTTCTCTAATTTTGAATGGTTGTCAGGACCCTGGGCAGGCCGGATTTCATAAACTGAGCATTATAACAGAATTTATTTATTCTGAATGTTTTCGTTTTCAAATTCATTGCTCTGATATATCCTGTTCATGCAGGGGGTATTGATTTTAGATGTCAGTAATTTAATCGGTCATTTGCAAAATCACATGGGTCCACATAACTTACTTTTCACAAAAATAATAAAAAATAAATATAATCAACGCGTCATTTATTTTACGCTTGGTCTTTTTTTGCCAAAAATCATTGGGAATTTTCTAATTTCTTGACACAGTTGCGGTTCACTAATATCTGTTGCGTCCACAATCATAAACGAAAGGTATCTTTGGACTCGTGTTGTTCTACCAAGTATCCACGTGAAAAAAACGTTGCATGAGGGGTTATTCGTCTTTATCACTGCTGGGGTAACGTATTTAAGTCATGACGGAGACAGTATGACCTCTGAAACGTTGGTTAACATCGACCAGACTACACAGCGCAACAACCCAGAAGACAGAAATCTTCATACTCTGATGATGGAGGCAGTATGACCTCTGAAACGTTGGTAAACATCGACCAGACTACACAGCGCAACAACCCAGAAGACAGAAATCTTCATACTCTGATGATGGAGGCAGTA